TTAGTGAAATTAATTAAATCAAATCAAAATAGTAATAACACTTTAGGTAGAACTCTTAGCGCTGAAATTCCAGACATTGATTATATCATGTTAATCGATACTGAAGGTCTTTTATCCATAGAAAAGAGTGATAATGAATACGATAGGCGCTTAGTTTTATTCTGTTTAGCTGTGTCACATTTAGTTATTGTCAATATGATGGGTGATGTCAATGAAACATTAAAAGATATGTTAACATTATGTGCAGATTCATTAAAGCAAATTGGTGTAAATAAAGTCAATCAACCAATTGTTCACTTTGTTTTAAATCAAAAAGCTGGTCCGAACTTAAAAAATCATACAGAGGCTATCGAAAGAATAATTCGAGATTTTAAAGAAAAAGAATTAGCTGAAGTTATTGATATCAGTCCAAAAACATTTCATACATTACCATCAGCATTTAAAAAAGAACGTGTAGCAAATGATGCTCAGAGTCCATGTTTTATACGGACGGAACCGGATTTTATTCAACGTACTCAACAATTATGTGAAAAAATTATTGAATCAGCTAAATCATCTTACGGACGGTCTGGTCAGACAATATCTGATCCACCTCAATGGTTCAGAACAGCTGTTACTATATTTGATACTTTACAAAAATTTCCAGATTTAACATATTTTAAAGATATTAACGAACGCCGACAACATTACCGAATCGACTGATTCGGTTGACCGAATTGACTGAAAAATCAGATATGAAACTTATGATTGGTCCAATAAAAAGGCAGTTTGCTCTAAATGTATCTGATCAACAATATGCTGCTTTGAAGGGTTACTGAGCACCATCGACCACGAATGTCACATATACGTTAGCTACAATAGACAACTTTAGTCATTTAAATAAACAGATACTGAAAGATCACTGGTACTCACTGGTAATCACTGGTACTAATATAGCTGGTACTCTTTGTCACGGCACCTGTGTCACGCAAGCAACGGCTCGAGTCCAACAAAATAGACAATCGCATAAAAGGCAAAACTCAATGGATCAAGACGAACGAAATAGGCAATCGCATAAAGAGCAAAACTCAGGGCATTCAGGGTTACATCTTCTGAAAAAAAGTGTTAATGCTCCACATGTGCTCTTGGTCTCGGACAATCAGCAATAACTTCAACTGAACAAATAACAACAGTTATCAATGTAGAACCATTACAATATGGTTATATACAACACGTCAATTACACAATTCACAATGAAATGGAATATGCACCAAATGCAGAATCAAATATATTATGTTTACCAATATTATTTAATAAAATTTTACAAGAGACAATAGCAATAGTTGAGGGAAACGGTACAATTCGTCGGCCAATTGAAGTTGACTTAACACAAAAAATTGTGGGTTTAATTAACACGATTATAAATGAAATAAATTTTGAATTACTCGTGTTTAAATTGTCATTATCTAAATAGACAAAATCACATATCCATGGGGACCGTTCAAGCAATACGTAATCAACATCTTATTCATTTTGAGACTACATCTTATTGCGCGATGTGGAACACTGTGGAATCAGTTTTGTTACGATCTGCCATTCTTGGCAGCTCATAATGTTCATGCGGTTATGGCTCGCATCTCTTCCAGATGCAGCCATAAGAGCTCTGCTCCCTGTTCCTATCATTCAGCATGCGCTCTCTCTCCTCGTTCTCTTTTCTTTCCTTCACACTATATGGATTTTTCCTTTCCTTCACATCATATGTTTTCCTTTCTGTCCATGACGCTATGGATTTTCCCTTTCGTTTCCTTTCGTCGTATACGACGGACTTTTCCTCTCCTCACTTGTCATTCTCGCTATGGGTGTTTTTCCCACCATTGTTCATCACCATCGATGGAATCTTGCATCCTCGGATATTTCCCATCTGTTCACAGTACATATAGCCGTTCACTTGATGCAAATTAACATGGGATGTGAGAGTTGGTTCTCACAGCAGATTCACTTCTGTCATCCGAGTTAGCCACTAGAGGAGTACCAGATCCTCACAGTGTCACCCTCCGAATCAATTCCACCCAGTTTCGGCAACTCAATCATTACTCAACATAAGAGGTCTCTTCGACATTGGTCAAGTTCCATCAATTACCAGAATTTTCGGAATTGAGCTAGCACAGAACTCCTCGCAATTCCCAGAAATTCCTGAGAATTCTGTCTAATTCCGTAGTGGCTTAATTCCTGAAATTCCGAAAATTGGTTCCAGCCGAAATCACTTGAAATTCCTGGGAATTACGTAACACTTGAACGGTTCCATACTTTTATTATTATCTTATTGACAATGTTTTATTATGATGAACAAAAACATCACTTTAATCAACAAATTTTGACATTAAATAAAGAAAAACCAACACTATTAACTTATTTTATTAGTATGGTTGTACCAGATGCACAATGTGATAACGAAGGAGCTGAAATTTTTGCAAATAAAGTGAAAAATGCTGTACAATCGAGTTTAGTGCGTGATGCGCAAATTATAATAACACGTATCATTGAAATACAACAACATTTAAATCGAAAACAGATTCAAATAATTTGTGATGGGAAATTATATGCAGCAACAAATGACGACGATTGGTTATTTCGTTATATTGATGCACCGACGGATATCATCATAGAAGAATTCCAGATATTATGGAAAGAAGTGGAAAAAACAATTAATCGCCAATTAGAACAAGAAAAAAATCAATGGAAAAATGCTTTAGTTGAGTTTTTTTAATCGTATTGAATTTATGATGTCCTCGTTTGTAAATGAGGGTTCATCTGTACAATATATTGATGATATATTCTTAGCGTCAGGTGGTATTGCTGCAGATAATTTAACAAATAAAGGTCAATGTATGGTTTTATTACTGTATGCTTATTTATCTGGTAATAAAATACAGCCAGGAACATCATATACTGTGTTTAATGAGAATTATATATTGAAAGCAAAAGGACTGAAATTACTTGAAAAATTACCAACACCAAGTCAAAAATTAGCCAGCCTGATTAATGGAATGAAAGATATTGATAACTCTAATAATAATCGAACAACAGTCGCTTCAATAAAAAATTTGCATGTCTTCCTTCAAAGTATTATAGATGCTAAAAAAACAATTGAAGATACGTACGATGAAACTCCAACTACATTTGATGCCTATGATAAAGATCAAATTTATAACAAATTATTGGATAAAGTACCTGGGTGTACCTCAAAATGTCCATGTTGTCAACGACCCTGTGACATTGACCATACTTTAATCAAATCAAATGCAGGTATTGTCGCGTAAAACTGAACTTTTTCGAATAGCATCTGTTTTGAATATGATTAATCGTTAAATTTTAATGATTTTTTGTTTTTGAAAGAGGTTGGCAAACGTGACCTCTCCTGGCCATCAAAGAATTCGATTTTCTATGATGAACCCAAGTTGGAACAGGGCCTAATGATAATTCAAAGGCTAATTTCGCGATAACTCTTCACTGAATTTAGAATCTTTATGTATTCCTTTGGAGGAAGGCAAAAAAAAATGTGTCCATCCGTAGTAAGAAACGGGTATAGGTCATAACATCTATGAAGAGCTGTCACATAACCCTTTGGGTACGGGAGCATCATATAACGGGTGCGAAGAAAGTTTCTAGACAAAGTGTTTGTTGCTTTTTGACCCGATTGAAAGTATTGCCGACGAGTCAAACGCTATGAGTTAGTACCAGAATTTGATGCTCTTTCCGAATATGAGCTCAGAAATTATTTTTCAGATTTTGCTTCAGAGTAGTGAGAGAATCTTTGAAAGACCTAAAAGGTTAGTTTGGACGGAACGGGTGGGTCGACGTTTCTCGACAACATATTTGTTTAGTTTAGCCTGCTTGAAAGTATTTCATATGAGTTTAAAACTATGGGCTAGAACACCAGAATTTTGTGCTTTTTCTGAATAAGTGCTTACAAATTTTGTGTCTGTTTTTGCTCAAGAGTAGTGAGAGAATCCTTGCAAGGTCCACAAATTAACGTCGACAACGAACAACAGGTTTTCGCTAACCTCTATAAGTCCCTTTGAAAAGATGCTAAAAATTGTAGGACTCAGTAGTTTTGTAGAGCAAACACTTCTTTACAAAATGTGATATTGAACTAAGCTGTAGCTTTTATTCAAGCGGAGCTATAGGCATTTTGCGAGGAGATCCTTTCTAAGTGAAACGCTTTTGGTCAAAAAGTCGATTTTTCAAAAATGAGGGTGTAGGAAAAACGAAAAATAAGGCGTCTTGTCGAAGGACAAAAGCGAACTTAAATAGTAAATTTTGTAGGGTAGATTTTGCTCTACAAGCTTATATATTAATAAAGATTTCGAATTTTAATTTTGGTTCCCTACAGTGAAATTACGAAAATGCCCGAAAAAAATTTCTATCGAAACAATTTTTTAAAGCCTTTCAAAGCTTCCCTTACTACTCTCAAACAAGACCTGACAAATAATTTTTGAGCTCATATTCGGAAAGGGTATCAAATTCTGGTTCTAACTCATAGCTTTTGACCCGCCGGAAATACTTTCAGTCGGATCAGAAAGGAACAAACATTTTGTCTAGAAACTTTCGACGCACCCGTTATGATATCTGATTGTTAGCGGTGATATCTGTCCAGCTAAGTAGAAAATATATCTTCTCTCTTTTTGTCCCTATTCTTGTTGTCTTCGTCTATATTCTCTCTCTCTCCCGCTCGTCGGGATATAAGTAAGACTTACATATAGAGAGAATAAATACGTGCTTTAGCATCTGAAACATTTTTGTTCAAATTGGATCTGGAAAATTGAACCCGTAGGCAAAGGGTTAACTCTTGGAATGTCATGAGGCCCCGTTCCTGACTATCTTCCAGCACAGGAGACTGAAATATTTGGAAGTGATTCAAAAGGGTTTATGAAAGATACATCTCTTCCGTTCAAATTTTTTTTATTATGACTTTAGGCGATGAAGACAACCGTCATTGTTGTCAAACTGGTCATCAATTACGAGCAATGGCTGGTATTAAATTTGAAGTTTCAAATGAAGCATCATTATTCCAGTGCGAACAGATGACAGATGACAGACCAATTGTTGTTCGAGATACAAAGAAAAAATGGTTGGAATTCAAAACCGATTATCCTGATGGGGATTTTGGTAATTCAATCACGTGAGATGAATTATTTAAATTGCGCGGTAAGCTTCTTAATGTTTGGAGTAGAATTAGTGAACTTCTATGTGAAAAATATGATATGACGTTTGTAACAGAAAATACAGCACAAGCTGCGGCAAAATCATTTCATTATATATTATTACTTGATGCATCCGGATCAATGAGTGGTGAACCATTGAGTAATTTACTTGACGGTGTTAGAGAATTCATTAAGATTCGTGTTGATTCCGGTTCATCAGATCGTATAACGATTATCGTATTTAATAGCAATGCAAAGTACGCTTACTTTAATGAAGACATGAAATCAATTGATATAACCAAAATAGAGTTTACAAGTGGCAGAACAGATTTCGGCAATGCATTTGATCTGGTAATTAAAACCATTCGGAATACACAAATGCAGAGTTCAGCATATAATCCTTTTGAGCACTCAGATTACGTCATTATTTTTATGAGCGACGGACAGCGAGGGTTTCCTTTTAGTCAAATGGAAACATTATCAGCCATGAAAATTATGATTAATCAATTTTGGACTGTTGCTCTTGGTAATACCAGTATGAATGTTTTACAACAGATAAATCAAAAAATGAATGGAACATTCAAAGAGTTAAAAGATTCTACTGATTTTGTTTATGCTTATGCTGAGATTGCTTATTTATCTTTCTAACTTTTCTCAAAAATTATTATGCTTTTTTTTTCAAAATAAAATCACGTTTATTTTAACTTTACCTCATGTGTAATAGTTCTTGTTGATTGTTGGTTAATCATTTATATAGTCAAATGCTTTAGCATTTGAGATTCCATATATAGGTGCGGCAAAAATTATTCGTACGATTTTGTTTCAGCAATATCTCAGTCAGATTAAATCCTTTCAGAGATCTGAAAACACCACTAGAACCGCCGTACCAGAAAGCATCTACTACCTAAGTTCCAAAGGATTTGGCTCGTTATTGTAGGAGATATCAGTCGTCGAATATGAAAAAGCAGTTTTTTATCGGAAAAAAAATTATTCGTACGGTTCATCTCATCCATTTTTAATGTTTTTTAAAGGCCGACAGAAAGATCATAGAAAAGGAAACCTTTGAGCTATGTTCCAGGAAAAAATCTTGTTCTATTATGTTTTTACACGATAGACAACGTTCACTGCTAAAACAAGTTCGATACATGTATGTCATAAACACCTTGATGACTAAAGATTCAGTACCTTCACTCTGCCACAATCAATCAGGCTAACTTTTCTTCTCAGCGATAGAGGAGACTTCAAAGTCTTTTCTCATAATAAAACTGTTAATAAATAGTGCTTTGAACTATCACTATTGGCTTTTATAACGAAATTTGGCCATTTCTGAACCCTTCATAGTTAGGGTTTCTAATTTTCATAAACCCTTTTTGGAGACTTTAAGAGTTTGCAACGTGTTACGAACCGTTAACGGGTTTAAGAAAATCAAAAACGGCGAGATAAAACCTTCGAAAAGGGTTTTTGTGGTAGTCAGATGATAAACCCCCAAGAGTTTTTGAAAAGTTTCTAAAGTCTTCCAAAGGTTTATGAGACGTTACAAACTCTTAAATCCTTTTTCCGTTTTTTAAAGTACGCATTTTTTTACAGTGTACTTGGGGTTTTGTAGGCCGTCCAATGACTTGGAAAAAAATTCTAAGTTTTTTCCCTCTGGATCACTAAGAGCTTCGTGCTCGTACTTGCCACCAAATCACACATTTCCAAGGATTATATTTACATCGAGTCGTTATATCAGTTCCTCTTTTGTCAAAATTGTAGACAAACAAATTAGATGAAATAATTTATATAAGTGTTCAATGATTGAAAATCCTTCACAAATGTTTCTACAGAAAATGAGAGTATCTTTTCGTGAGAAAAAGAAAAAAAACTCATACAAATACAAAATCAGACAAAGACGATAAGCATTGATAAAAGTCATTCTTAATTTCATCTTTGATATTCTGGTTAGAATCTATATACTAGTCATATTTCCTATAAAAACTTTGCGATAGCAGTGGCAACCGCCAAAAACGCGTAAAAAGACCCCATAGAGCGAGCTTTTCTGCATCCTAGCCTCACAATCATAATCACGTTCTCGTACATAAACTGATACAGTTTCACGTTCACTCTTTCCCTGCATGGAAATCACTAAATCGACTGCAGTTGCTTGAAAAAGCCTTATAGACAGCTTCGAGATGTCTTGTTTTCCTCAAAATATATATAATTCTTTATTATGGCAGGAAAATCACTAAAGATGTGCTTAACGCATTAAGATAGGTGAAAATCATGACATCGGCCAAGTATTTCGCCTATTAACCTATATGGACATATTTTTGAAAGACTTATTTATAGCTCATTTTGAAGTCCGAAAAATTCTTTATCTTTCTATATATAAAACATTTCGGTTCTGAGTGGATGAGTTCAAGAAATATTCCGTTAAAGTGCTAAGATAGGTGAAAATGATGATATCTGTCTAGTATTTCGACAATTTTCCTATATGGGCATAATTTTGAAAACCTCGTCTATAGCTTACTTTGAACTCCAGAAAATTCTCTATGTTACTATGTATGAGCTTTGCTAAAGAGCTTTGAAATCGGACAAAAAATTTGCGGAAAAACGTAAATGGCTTCTGTTGAACTGGTGGCGAAAAATGAAAAGTAATTTTTGTTTGAAAGACACCAGAAGGAATTTTTGAAAGTGGGAAGTGAAAAGGGAAGCATTTTCGATCATTTTCACTCAGAATCATATTGGGCCGTTTTCTAGCAGAAACCGTTCCCCGTCCTTTGATCAACCTTTTCAAAAAAAGATACAACACAACGTATTGGAAGTTAACTTGCTACATCCAATTATAGTTATAGCGGATTTTTCTCTTGTAATCCAGCTAGTTCAATAATTTACGATCAATTGTTTTGGACAAAAATCGATCAATATCACTCTTCACACTATCATTCAGTGCTGTAACCGAGACTACGGATCTTGTAATGGAACAAAATCGGATAAAAGTAGTTCCCAATAATTCCGCCTTCAAGGAACACCGCGAATTCCCCCATAGAAAAAAGTTGTATGCCATTCCTAATTACACAACATCAATAGATACTGCAAGTCATCCCGAAATTCCTAGTAAATCCTAGTAATTCCCATTATATCGCATTGAAGGAATTCCAAGAATTCCGCTTCAGAATGCAGTTATTTGCAATTCCTCGTTACAGTGCATCAATCGATATTTCCAGTAATTCCCGAGTTCCTAGTAATTCCGCTTTGAAGGAATTCCGGGTATTACGCCTCAGAATAAGGTTTGATGCCATTCCTCATTCCAGTACATCAGTAGATACTACAAGTAATTCCTAGTAATTCCGGGAATTCCGCCGCAGAATAAGCTTGTATGCCACTGCTCATTGCAGTACATCAGTAGATACTACAAGTAATTCCGAAATTCCTAGTGATTGCTAGTAATTCCGGAATTCCTAGAGATTCCTAGTAATTCCTAGTAATTCCGCTTTGAAGGAATTCCGGGAATTCCGCCGCAGAATAAGGTTTGATGTCATTCCTCATTCCAGTACATCAGTAGATACTACAAGTAATTCCGAAATTCCTAGTAATTCCTAGTAATTCCGGATTTATGGAATTCCACGTTAGAGTAGATGCTGCAAGTAATTCCGGAATTCCTAGTTACTGATTCCCGGACGGAAGTGATTCCGCGATGTTCAACATTGCGGAATAGGATGACTGCTCGTTTCGCAAGGGTCATTCTGTGGCTAAAGTCTAAATACTAACGTCGTCTTTAAACGCAGAAGGGAATTTTTGTGCAAGAACAAAGAATCTTATTTTATGAAGAATAAACAAGGTTAAAATACTGATAAAATAGCGTCGTTTATTACTCGGATATGCTGACTATCAGGAGCACCAGCACGAATATTGGTCGAATTGGGGTTGTATACGATACGATACAAAAAATGATCGACGAAGTAACTTTGTTTTACAGTGCTTTCGGTCTGGTCTGGTACACAGTGAATTATTTTACCTTTGCAGAGTGTGACATGAGAAATATAAATGATCATTTGAACTAAAAGCTTCTACCGTAAAATCATACGGAGAACAAAAACAAATTTTTCATAGATATACTCTGCGAGGCACAACAGACTAAATTTTTTCCAATGCTCAAGGAAAAGAAAAATAGCATATTTTTTATATTCAGATCAGCTTTTTTGGTTGATTTAAGTCATTAGTCTTACGATAACTTTAGTAATTAGCTAATTGAAGTTTTATAGCCTAATTTTTTTCAATCTCATTTTCTAACGACAAAGTTCTCGAGAAGAAACTGCTCGTTGTAGAGAGAAAAAGATGACGTTCTTGTGAAGAAACCCTAAGTTGCAGATGAATAAAGATAAAGTTCTCGAGAAGGAACTCCTAGCTGCAGATCAAAAAAGTTGAAGTTCTCGTGAAGAAACCCCAGGTTGGAAATCCCAGGTTCGTGAAGAAAACAGATGAAGTTCTCTTGAAGAAAGATGATGAACTTTAAACACTACGTTTAATCATAAGCTGCATCTGATCGCATTCATTAGATGGTTTGAAAAAAAAAGAAATAGCGTGAAGA